TAATCCTTTGCTAAGATTTTAGGTAAAGCCTTGATACCTTCAAAGGGTGTTTAAAATGCCAGTTTTTACCAGAAGGAAACAGGAGGAAAACCCTGAGTCCTGCCATCAGAAAACTGTGGGCCAGCCACTCAGTCTTCTGAGAGCCCTGGGAGGCCCTGGTAAGGGGAGAGCTGGAATGGGATGATGGTTATAACATATTGCAAGTGGACAAAGAAGTTTCTTGGATATTTTTTAAAAAAGACTTATTTATTTATTCATACAAGAACTGGGGTACAGGGCAGAGGTGTGGGGGGTGAGAGGATTCACCAAAGAGAGTGGGGACCAAAACAGGCAGTGGGTGAGGGGAGCAGTGGGCGAGACAGGAGAGGTCTGCTGCGCCATGTGGGTAGTTCCCTGGCTGAGGATTGAACTCGTGCTGCAGCGGCTGTGGATATCTTCATAGGTTGCACCACCAGGGAGGCCCTCTTGGATAAATTGAAGTGAGATGAGACATCCACATGGACCTTTCATGTGCTGCAAACACAATGAGCTCTCCATGAGCCCCCACCCCATGCCACCCCTTATTCACTTCTTAACTCAGGGACTCCAAAAATAACTAAAAGCGCCCTGGCACACATGGTTCTGACAGCCATCTAGTCAATGAGCAACCTTCCAGAAGGGGTCCCCCTCAATTTGGGGGAAACTATTCTATGGCTGCAAAGTTTCAAAGACCAAGTGGTTTCTGACAATGACAAGGAGGTGGTAGCTCCCTGCAGCAGGAGAAGTCAGTGCCTGACCTGCAGAATATGGGGCAGGGACTGCAGGGGAGTGGGTGGCGGGACTTCTGGATGCCATGTGGTCCTGGGGCAGGTGCCCTGGTGCGCATGGCACAGGGCTGTGAGTGAGCACTGCAGGCCCTAGCTCCCTCAGGCACTGTTGGCAGGGGAACTACAAAGGACCATGCAGAAATGGAGCTCCTGACACCCATTTCTCTTTCCACCAGAAACGGGGCTAAGGGTCCCTCGCCATCCACTTCTGTGATCCTGAAAGGTTGTCCAGGTTCAGGACCAGCACCTTAAGGTGGATCTCCAGGAGAAAGCAGCCTAGCTTCATTCTGTTTGGTCAATGGTTTTCAAACTGTGCTCTAAAGAGCCCCTCATCATGACCCCCCCCAAAGACCTGCTGCAGTCAGGAGCATGATGGGCAGAGTGGAGAGCCCCATTCATAACCTTCCAGCAGTCACCTCACTTTTCTGCATTTTACACAAGGGGACCTATGTTTCAAAGCCAGATTGGGCTACCTTTAAGAAAGTTTGGAGGGCCTCCCTAGTGGTGCAAGGGGTTAAGCACAGCACTATGAAGCAATCCGCAGCCTCTGCAGCACGAGTTTGATTATCGGCCAGCCAGGGAGAAACCCACATGGCGAAGCAGACCTCTCCTGTCTCACCTGCTGTACCCCTCAGCAGTGTACTTGGTCAGTCTGCCTGTTCTGTTCCCCACTCTGTCTCTGGTGAGTCCTCTCACCCTGCCACATCTATGGCCTATACCCCAGTTCTTGTATGCATAAATAAATAAATCTTTTAAAAAAAATAAATAAGTTTGGAAATTAGTAGCTTACATTTTCAGATTTTCGAAGCAAAACAAAGCTATTTCTGGCTCTTTCTGTCTTGAGCATTAGGGTTTTGTAACTACTTTGCCACTTTATTTTTTTTTAAATATGAAAGCTGGGCCTTCAAACCAGGCTCTGCAGGCTATTGCAAATCCAGGACTGGGCTCTGTAGGCTGACTCATGGTCACGTGATTATTTGTGTGCAGAATACAACCATTCAGCAACATTGGTTTCGCTCTTCTGGAGTGCAAGGATGTGCAAGCTGGAAACATTTCTAACACTTTACACATGTGAATATATGTGTGCACATGTGTGTGCAGGTGTGTGCACATGCAAACATGTATAATGGCAACAGGAAGTTAGTAATTTAGGAGCATCCATTTGGATGTTCTCCCTGTGTGTCTCCAAGCTGTTCCCAGAGAGCCAGCCTTCTGCCTCCCAGAAATCTGCCCTCACAATTCGTGGAGCCAGTCCTGGTTTGAAAGAGAATGGAAGGGTCTCCTGCCCATTGGCTTTCAGGGTCCACAGGCAGAACTAGGGCTACTAGAAAGTTATGGAGAAATCCTCAGAGTGTCAGTGGAAGTAAGACCCCTTTCACGGAGCTCTTGGGGAATTAAGAGATATTGGGGAAACAAAGGCAGTCAGGGTTCCTTTAAAGAATAAGGTAAGACTTGACTATGCTTGACTCCAGACCCAGTGCTCCATCTCCACCCTCCGTGCCTGGTTAGAAGCAGGAAGGAATCAGGGGCTGCTGCTGAGAGTTTGGTGAAGGAAGGTAATGAAGCGTTGGGGACACTCACGTCTTCTTCAAGACAGAGTCGCCTCTCCAGCTCAGGCTCTAGTTGACAAGAGAACAGAGGCCCGACTCACCCAGGAGACAGAAGAGGAATTGAAGAAGGTGGCTCACCAGCAAGGGATGCAACAGCCAGATGGGACTACTTGCCCTTGAACCCAGCGCTAACGAATGGCTCCCCAGAGCCCTGGTCCTGGCTCCTCGCCTGGTCCTCAGCTCAGCCCAGAGGCAGGCGCAGGCTGCAAGAGCACCAGCTTTCAAGGGAAAATCCTATAAGGGAGAAGAGGTATGACTGCTGGCAGCTCTGCTGTTGTGTATGTATGTGTCTGTGTTTTCCAAAACACACAGGGTGAGTGAGCCAGGATGAAAACAGACAGCGGCAGGGAATGGGAGTGGCTCACCATCATGTGCAGGTGCAGCAACTATGTGGCCACTCACAGGTGCTCCCCAGGAGGCACTGATGGGGGGTGGCAACAGCCCACCTCACCCTGACCTCTGACTCTAGGGAAGCTCCTCCAGGCCAAGGTGGATGCAAGCCAGGTGTGGCCATCCCCTGGGTCAGCAAGGAGCCCCGCCCCACCTGGGGCTGGCATCAGGCAGCACAGCGGGGTCTCTAGTTCCCCAGGCAGGCTGGAGGCTCCTTTTCCTCCATGCTCTGGAAGGTGGACTCCATGGGCCTTTTTGACTCCTAGTCCCAAGGGTGCCTGCTTGGAAAGATGGGATCTTGTCCAGCAGGTATCCTGAGGGGTTATTCTCTGGACCAGGATCAGGGTGTGTCAGTCCCGGGTGAAGCCATTAGGAAAGAGGACTGGAAAAAACAAAAATGGAGTCATCCACCCATCAAGAAATCCACTCACCCAGTTGTGTGCTAGACCTGGGGGTAGAGAGAGGACCCAGACCTCCCATCCTTGTCCCTGTGGAAGAAAAGCAAGTTTCTAGATCATGGGAGGTGGGGGCGTACCAGTACCATTATCTCAATGGAGGCGTGGGGGGGCTTTGTCATTGCCACACTGAGTCAAAGCAGAATAACAATGAGCCTCTGGGTTTGGGGGCGAGGAGGTGAGGGTAGTAGAGCAGAGAGAGAGGAATAAGCCAGAGACACCTGTGGAATCATGAGCAGAGGTGGGGGACAGACTATGAGATTGTTGAGCACCCTGGGAGTGAGGTATCCAGAGAACAAATGAGAGACACACCAATACTCATGGGACCAAAGGGAAGAAAAGAGTCTGAGAAGAGGTGACCCCATTAGAAGGAAACCAGAGAGGGTTCAGAGGAGGGAAATGTCATCTGAGCCCATTGGTGCCCGGAGGTCAAGGGAGACAGAGACCCACTGGGGATCTTCATGGGGTCTCAGTGTTGTGTTGGGGGGGGGGGCACAGCCAAGTGCTAGGGGCCAGAGCTGTGAGCAAGGGGAGCCAGAGCTAGCAGCAAGGGGGAGGAGAAGCAACAGCTAGTAGCAGCTGGTGGGGAGAGTGGGGTCGAGGTAAGGTCCTGTCTTGGTCTTTGCAGGAGGAAAGGACTTGGCAGGGTTCAAGGTTATTGAGAAGCAAGGAGTAAGTTAAGAAGAGAGAAAAGTCAAGAAAGAAAGTTCCTCCAGCTCAGGCAGGCAGGAATGAGAGATAGTAGAAGATGCTATTTCACATCAAAAAGGAGGGAGGAGGGGCCTCCCTGGGGCTCAAGGGGTTAAGTAAGCACAGCACTATGATGAAGCTATCAGCAGCCTCTGCAGTAAGAGTTCAATACTGGGGCAGAGATCAACCCACATGGCGGGGTCTCCAGTTCCCCAGGCAGGCTGGAGGAGCCTTTTCCTCCATCTTCTCCTTTTCCTCTCCTGTCTGGCCCACTATTCCCCTCAACAGTATTTTTCAGTCACTCTGCCTGTTCTGTTCCCCACTCTGTCTCTGGTGAATCCTCTGCACCTCTGGCTTGTACCACAGTTCTTGTATGCATAAATAAATAAATCTTTAAAAAAAAAATGGAGGAAGGAGTAGGCTGCTAGGGGAGCTTCTGGGTCTGGAGGTAGTTCTCATTTGCTGCCAGAGGCATTTCTTACAATGATAGGACAAAGGAACACAAGGACTCAGAGGCTGTGAGAGGTCAGGTGACCTGCCCACAGCCTAGCTGGTGAGGGGGAGCTGGCTTTCTCCCCCAGAGCCATGTGCTCTGAAATCCAGCTCTTCATCCCACAGACCCAGCAAGAAAGCGAAAGTGGCTTAGCATCCCCTTCGGATTCTCTTTCTGAGTTTCCTTTTCAAAGTTAGCACTTGTTGGGGGAGAAAGGGAAGAAAGAAAAGTCAGGCCGGCTCTGCATCCCACTGGGCTGTGAGGAGGATGTGCGGACGGGGACCTGGGGCCGCTGCGAACATCTCCTGGCCCAGGCCAGGGTCTGTGGGGCCTTCCCTTTCAGATAATAAAGCAATTTATAAACACAAGACTTGCAGGGGACAGCAAGGAATCTCGGGGGCCCTGCTAATTAAAACGCCTGTATTACATTACTGCCTCGAGGACCCATCTTCTCATTTTTAGGATTATGGTACATTGATTAATTTATACAAGTTTTTAATCCCTCTGTGCTTAATGAAGTCCAGGAACATGGGAACAGGAGCATAATTGAGCTTCACATTATTTTATTAGGGAGAATTATAGCCTGACGTGTCACAAAGAAGTTTGTGAGGGCGGGAAGGTGGCACGTGCTGTTAACCGATTGCTGTCCAGATGCCAGCAGGGACGTCCCTTGGGAGCAGACTCAGGGAGTTCATCCCTCAAAGCCATGCTGTTGGGTGGCAGCTGGTGGCCTGTAGGAATAACACCCCATCTTAGGTCTGGAGTACAGTGCTAACCACCATGGCCTGGCCACCTGCTCACATCTGCTCCACAACATACCTGACACCTCTACTTGTACTGTACCTGCACCAATTGCCCCAACACTGCCCCTGCTGCTCCCTCTGCCACAAATTACACAGGCTCATGTATTGATTCAGGCTCAAGTGCCACTTCCTCTAGGAAGCCTTCCCTGAACCAACCCCCTGAAAGGAAAAAGTCATCTGTACCAGAAGGCTTTACATTCCCTGGACTCCCCAAATATTTTGGAATCAAAAGAGCTTAGACTAAAAGACCTCTAAAGTTCCCTGCAGGTCCAGGAGCCTATGTCTCAGTCCTGGAGCTGGGAATTTCCTCCCCAATTCCCCACCTTCTTCTCACCCAGGGTTCACAAAAGTCCTGAACTGGGAGCCAGCTGATTGGACCAGAGTTTTATTCCTAGTTGTGCTTCGAAGTCTGTGTGATCCTGCATGAGTTCCCTCTCTGGGCCTCAATTTCCCCAACCATGAAGTCAGGCAAGGAAGCTAATTTTAGCTCCTGAGGCCCTCTCCAGCAAGAACAACCGAGAATTCCAGAATTTCCCATAAATCCACTAGCTTTCTGGTCCAGGGCCCTGAGTTTGGATCCCACACCCTCTAGAGGCCAGAACTGGAGTTGCAGATATGAAATCCCTGGTGGAGACTGTCAGACTTTTCTGAGTATGGAAGTTTCCAGGATGAATCCTTTACCCCATAGGGGTGGTCCTCAGGTTCCTAAAGAAGTAGAGCCTAAAATATGAAATGCAGTTTGATTCTTGCTTCCTCCATCAATTCCTTCCTGCTGAAAATATGCAAGGCTTATTCCTTCTCTCTCTCTCTCCACCCTATGGAAAGGAAGGACAGTTTGTATAAAGGAACTTAAATTTCAGTAAGATGGTAAAGGGAATTTTCTGGAGCACCTGGTGAACCTAAAATCATATCCCAGTAGTATTTCACCATCCATCAGGGAGCATAAGAGTGGGTGGGATGGCATATAACATCTCTTTCAACTTTTCCCCAAGCAAAGTTTGTGGCTCCCATAAGTATTTCCACATGATTTTTTTTTTCAGATCACTACCCAAAATCATTAGGCCAAAGGATTTTGTGCTTAAGAAAGAATCCAAATCCTGGACCAACATTCAAGGTCAAATAATTCTATGCCTTTGTTTTGTCAATGAAGGAGGGAGGGCAGAGAGTGAAGGAAAGTAGAGTGTGGGAGGGGGAGAAGGGGGAGGGAGAGGGAGAAGGAGGGAGGGACAGAGGGAAGGAGGGAAAGGGAGAGGGAAGAGACAGAGGGAAGGAAAGAGAGAGAAACTGCACTAGAACAGATTGAGGTTCCTGACCTCCCACCCCATGTTAGACCTCCAGTGTCTGCAACCTCCCACTTCTAAAATTTTCTGTTGAAAATAGAACCAACATATGCTCCAACAATTCCACTTCTGATTATTTCCATGAAATATACAAAAACACTAATTCAAAAGATAGCTGCAACTTTAGAACAGGGACATTTCTTCAGTAAAGACTGCTTGAAACCAGCAGAAGGCTCCCAGAGGAGCCAGAGGGTTGCTGGGAAGTTCGCCCACGCCAGGCACCTTCTGGCCTGCAGTCCGAGCCCAGAGGGGGAGCGGGAACCCACCGCCAGGGCAGACCAGGCATGCAGAGGAGTGCGAACACGTATCACCTTTTTAGAACAGGGACCTTTCTTCAGAAAAGCCTGCTTGAAACTGGCAGATGGCTCCTGGAAGAGCCAGAGGTGAGCTGGGAAGTTCGCCCAAGATTCTGGCGAGTACCAGCAACACAGTGTCCCAATGTATATGGCAAATTAGAAAACAGACAGTAGGGAGTAGAAAAACCACATGCAACCCAGCAACTCCTCAGGAAAATAGCACACCACAAAAAGAAAACCACCCCCCAGATTGCAACGACAGTAACTTGGAAGACCTTCTGAGCCTTCCAGAAAGAGAATTTAAAATTGCCATGATTAAAAAACTGCCAGAAGTCATAAAGGAAAACAATGAAAAGGGAAAAATATTCAACGATCAGAAGAATGAAATTGAGTCCCTAAAGAGGGAAGTAAAAGGAATGCAGGAGATTAAAGAATTAATGGAGGTGCTAAAGAACTCTGGGAAAAGCAATGAAAGCAGAATAGATGAAATGGAAGAACGTCTAAGTACTCTTGAAGACACAGAAATAAAAGGAACCAAAACAGAAAAGGAAAGAGAAGTATGAAGGAAAAAGACCGAAGAAAGACTTTGGGAACTATCTGACTCCATGAGGAAAGGAAATATAAGAGTTATAGGAATCCCAGAAGGAGAGGAGAGAGATGTAGGAACAGAGAAAATATTCAAGGAGATAATTGAAGAGAAATTCCAAAACGTGAAGAAGGAGCTGAAAATAGATATACAAGAAGCAAGAAGAACACCAAACTTCCACGATGAAAGGAAAAATACAGCAAGACACATAATAGTAAAGCTCCCAAGAATCCAGGACAAAGAAAAAAATAATGAAGCTGACAAGAGGGAAGAAACAGATAATATTCAAAGGAAAACCAATCAGGCTGACAACATACTTCTCTGAAGAAACACTACGGGCAAGGAGAGAGTGGAGGGACATAGTCAACAGACTCCAAGAAAACAGATGCCAACCAAGAACACTCTATCCCGCAAAGCTCTCCTTCCTCTATGAAGAAAGAATAAGGACCTTCCCAGACAAACAGAAACTCTGGAATTTCATTACGACTAAACCCCCACTCAAAAAAATACTACAAGGAGTCCTAAACCCAGAACCTCAGAGGGACGAATAACAATGAAAAAAGGCCAAAAAAAAAGTTATTAAAAGAATAAATAAATAAAATCAAGGGAAAGACAAACACAATGGCAAATACAGATGTTAACATATCAATATTAACTCTAAATGTAAATGGACTAAACTCTTCAATAAAAAGACATAGAGTCACAGGCTGGATAAAGAAACAATATCCAACCTTTTGCTGTCTTCAGAAAACACAATTAGCTACAAAAGATAAAAACAGACTCAAAGTTAAAGGATAGAAAACAATCCTACAAGCAAATGGAACAAAAAAGAAAGCAGGAACAGCTATACTTATATCAGATAAAACAGATTTCAAACTCAAAAAGATAAAAAGAGACCCCAACGGTCACTACATTATGATCAAGGGGACAATACTTTAATAAGAAATAACACTCATGAACATATATTCACCAAATGAAGGAGCACCAAAATATATCAGACAACTATTGTCATCTCTGAAAACAGACATCAGAGAAAACACATACATAGTGGGAGACTTCAACACACTACTAACAACAATGGATAGATCAATGAGACAAAAAATAAGTAAAGACACTAAAGCTCTAAATTAGGATCTAGAGCACTTGGGCTTAACAGACATCTATAGAACATTAAAACCAAAAAAATCTGAGTACACATTTTTCTCAAGTGCACAGGAAACACTCTCTAGGATCGATCACATGCTGGGACACAAGACAAACATCAACAGATACACCAAGATTGAAATCATATACCAACCATCCTTTCTGACCATGAAGGCATCAAACTAGAAATAAACCATAAAAAGAAGGCAAGGAACTATCCTACCTCATGGAGAATGAAAACCATGCTTGTGGAAGACCAGTGGACTAATGAGGAGATAAAAGAAGAAATCAAAAAATTCTTTGACTTGAATGACAAGGAGGACACCAATTTCCTAAATGTATGGAATGCAGCAAAAGCAGTCATAAGAGGAAAATATATAGCAAAAGAGGCTCACATCAAGAAACAAGAAAGAACTCAAAGAAACAACCTAATGTCGAAGCTCAAAGATCTAGAAAAAGAACAACAAAAAATCCCCAAAACCAGTAGAAGAAAAGAAATAATAAAAAACAAAGCAGAAATAAATGAAATCGAAACTAAAAAAACAATCCAAAAGATCAATGAAACCAAGAGCTGCTTCTTCAAAAAAATAAATAAAATAGACAAACCCCTAGCCAGGCTCACAAAAAAGGGAGAAAGCACAAATAAACAGGATCACAAATGAAAGAGGAGAAATCACAACGGACACAGCAGAAATCAAAAGAATAATCAGTAACTACTATGAACAGTTATATGGAAACAAGTTCAACAATCTAGAGGAGATGGACAAATTCCTGCAACTCTACAATTACCCAAAGCTAGATAGAGAAGAAATAGAACACCTAAACAGACCAATTACAAGCAGCGAAATTGAAATGGTAATCAAAAACCTCCCCAAAAACAAAAGCCCAGGACCTGATGGATTTACAAATGAATTCTACCAAACATTCAGAAACTAATTAGTGCCTATCCTTCACAATCTCTTCCAAAAAATTGAGAAGGAAGGGATAATACCAAACACGTTCTATGAAGCCAACATTACACTAATACCAAAACCAAACAAGGACAACACAAAAAAATAAAACTACAGGCCAATCTCCCTAATGAACATGGATGCAAAAATCCTCAATAAAATTTTAGCTACCAGAATCCAACAATGTATCCATTAGATAATTCACCACTACCAAGTAGGATTCATTCCAGGGACACAAGGATGGTTCAACATCCAAAAATCAATCAGTGTTATCCAACACATCAACAAAAAGAAATACAAAAACAATATGATAATATCAATAGATGCCGAGAAAGCTTTTGACTAAGTGCAACACCCATTCATGATAAAAGCCCTTGAAATTCTTGGGATACAAGGAACATACCTCAACATCATAAAGGCCATATATGACAAGCCAACAGCCAGTATCATTCTCAATGGTGAAAAGCTGAAAGGATTTCCATTAAGATCTGGAACAAGACAAGGATGTCCACTCTCACCACTGCTTTTCAATAGAATACTGGAAGTCCTAGCCAGAGCAATAAGTCAAGAGAAAGACATACAAGGAATCCAAATTGGAAAAGAAGAAGTCAAACTATCACTATTTGCAGATGATATGATAATATACATAGAGAACCCCAAAAACTCCACAGAAAAACTAATTCAGCTAATCAATCAGTTCAGTAAAGTGGCAGGATACAAAATCAACATGCAAAAGTCAGTAGCCTTCCTATACACAAACAATAAATCTGAGGAAGAAGAAATTAAAAAAACATCCCTTTTATTATCGAAACAAAAAAAAATCAAATATTTGGGCATAAATCTAACAAAAGAGGTAAAGGACCTATACAAAGAAAACTATAAAACACTGTTAAAAGAAATAGAAGAAGACACAAAGAAATGGAAAGACATCCCCTGCTCATGGATTGGAAGAATAAACATTATTAAAATGGCCATCCTCCCAAAAGCAATATACAGATTCAATGCTATTCCAATAAAAATCTCAATGTCATTCTTCAAAGAAATAGAACAATTATTGATGAAATTAATATGGAATCACCAAAACCCCCGAATAGCCAAAGCTCTCCTGAAAAAAAAAAAAAAAAAGAAGGGAATGGAGGCATCACACTCCCAGACTTCAAACTATACTACAAATCCATAATCATCAAAACTGCATGACATTGGAACAAGAACAGACACACGGACCAATGGAACTGAATAGAAAACCCAGAAATAAACCCACAGATTTATGGTCAACTAATCTTTGACAAAGGAGCAAAGAATATGCACTGGAGCAAAGAAAGTTTGTTCAATATGGTGCTTGGAAAACTGGGTCGCTACATGCAAAAGAATGAAGCTTGACTACTACCTCACACCATGCACAAAACCAACTCAAAATGGATTAAAGAACTAGACATAAGACCTGAAACCATAAAATACATAGAAGAACATATAGGGGAAACACTGCGTGATATGCACATCAAAGACATATTTACAGACACATCACCCAAAGCAGTGATAGTGAAGGCAAAGATAAACAGCTGGGACTACATCAAATTAAAGAGCTTCTGTACAGCAAAAGAGACAATAACCAAAACCAAGAGAAACCCCACCGACTGGGAGAACATTTTTGCACATAACACTAATGATAAAGGATTGATCACAAAAATCTACAAAGAGCTGATGAGACTCAACAAAAACAAAGAAAATAATCCAGTCAAAAAATGGGCAAAAGAGTTAAAAAGAAACTTCTCTGAAGAGGAAATGCAAATGGTCAACAGGCATATGAAAAAATGTTCAACATCACTTGTAATCAGGGAAATGCAAATCAAAACTACAATGAGATACCATCTTACACCAGTGAGAATGGCACATATTAAAAAAACTAGCAACAACAAATGTTGGCGAGGGTGTGGAGAAAAAGGAACTCTTCTGCACTGTTGGTGAGAGTGCAAACTGGTCCAACCACAATGCAGAGCTGTGTGGAGATTTCTGGACCTACTAAACATAGAGCTTCCATATGATCCAGCAGCTGTGTTTGCTTCGGCAGCACATATACCATATGATCCAGCAATTCCACTCCTAGGTATTTACCCAAAGGACACAGAAACATCAATTCCAAAGAGCACCTGCACCCCTATGTTTATAGCAGCACTGTTTTCAATAGCTAAGCTTTGGAAACAACCCAAATGCCCAAAAATAGATGACTGGATCAAGAAGATGTGGTACATATACACCATGGAATATTACTCAGCATTCAAAAAAGATAAACACATACAATTTGCAGCAACATGGATGGCGCTGGAAGGGATCATGCTCAGTGAAATAAGCCAGAAAGAAAAAGAAAAATACCAGATGGTCTCACTCATAGCAGGAATCTAGAAAACTTAAATAAAGGACCAGGAAAAAGAATAACTATAAGAACGTATAGATCAAAATCAACAGACAACTATGAACCAGAGACACTCTATGGGGGTTGGGGGGTGGGGAGGGGAGGGATTGGGGTCAAAATAAGGGGGTCGCAATTGTATGGGGAATATAAAAAGAAAAAAAGGAAAAGAAAAAAAAAGATAGCTGCACCCCCATGGTTCTTGTAACACTATTCACAACAGCAGTAAGATAACTCAGGAAAACAACCTAAGCTGTGAATGGATAAAGAAGGTGTAATATAGATACCCAAGGGAATACTACTCAGCTACTTTAAAAGTGATGAAATTTTGCCGTTTGCAACCATAGGACTGGACCTTGACAGGTTTGAGCTAAATGAAAGATGTCAGATGAGAAGAGAAACACCGTAGGATTTAACTCCTGTGTAGAGGTTGAAGAATCAAAGCAAGTGGACAAAGAGAACACAATCAACCCCTAGATTCTGATAACAGAACTGTGGTTGCCAGGGTGGAAGGGGATTGGCTTTGGTGGTGGTAGATGGGAACTAGGCCTTTGGTGGCTGGCGGGCATGATATGAAGCAGACAGAGGCCCAGGTGTGAAGCTGTGCTCCTGAGGTATGGTGGAGTTGTAAACCAATGTCACCTCAAAAAAAAAAAAAAAAAAAGTTCTGAGACCTTGAAACAAAGCAGGCCTCCAGGGATGGGGGCAAAAGAAAAAAAAAAAAAATCAGGCCTCCATTCACCCTCCTTACTTCAAAGTGAAGCAGAAAGTGCCCTTCAGTGACAGGAAGGGATATTTATTCAAATAACCATTCCCTAATCGGAGCTTGAAGTCTCCCTTCCCCACATGTATTCCAGGGTTTTTCTGTCATTACAGTGTCGGAATGAAACTCCCTGTTTTAAACAGTACATAAAATTATTGGTAATTTTTGTTGTTGTTTTTAAAAGCAGAATGGTTCACGAACCTTCAGGCTGACCAGGGAGTTAGACAAGCTCAGTGGAGGTGACAACCCCAACACCAGGCCCATCACCATGGGTGTGCACACACATGAGGAGCACAAAGTGACACTGGGGACCCCATAAATTCACCTCACATCTCAACCAGGCCTAGACATTCATTCCATTCATTTGGCAAAATTCTAAAAGAGCTTATCAAGATATCTCCATGACTTCAAAAGTCACTTTCTGAAGTGGAAGAGTGACTTTCCATCCAATTTTAGGGACTTATTAGAAACAAAAAGCATCTGCATCCCACCACATATTACTTATGGGAACCCTCTCCCCCAAGACATTTGGGAACAAAATGCAACATTTACTCTTGGGAACAAAATGTTACATTACAATTTTAACTCTAAGCAAAATTTCAGATATGCCAAATATTAGCTTATGAGGACAGTGTATGTCTGTTTCTTATGGTGTAATATATGGTCAAATCTTGGGTCCCATTAAATACATACATTTGGGGCCTCCCCAGTGGCGCAGCGGTTGAGCGCTGGGTAGCGAAGCTGCCCACAGCCTCTGCTACGCCGGTTCGATCCCCGGCTGCTCCCCGGCCACCGGAGGAGGGTCCCACATGGCGCGCAGACCTCTCCTGCCGCCCGCTGCTCCCCTCAGCAGTGTACTTCGGTCCTTCTGCCTGCTCTGCTCCCCGCTCTGGCTCTGGTGAATTCTCTCGCCCTCCCGCGCCTCTGACTGTACCCAGTGCATGTATAAACAAAACGAACAAACAAGCAAATAAATAAATAAAACATGCCTCTATTAAAAAAAATAAAATAAAAAAAAATAAATAAATACATACATTTGATCCCAAACCCAAACATGATGTCAAATGTCAATTTTTAATGCTCTTTCATACTTTATGAAGCCTCATTTGTTATTATTTGGAGAAAGGTCGAAACTTACCTGTTTTTACACTAGTAATATTATTTGCAATTATGTTCATAATGGTTTTAAAATCCAATTTTAACACTATACCGATTTAATGTCATTTCTTACTGAGATTCGTGTTTTTAGCTCTTACCACATGAAGATATTATTTTTTTAAATCATTTAAAAATTCATAAGGGGCATTTTTAATTCAAGCACATTCCTGTGAAGAAAATCTTCAAGCCAATAAATGTTGGGGAGTACAAATGAATTGGCCTCCAGCCATTTACTAGTGAAACTGTTATAGGGCAACCCCGATATAAAACGGGTTGCCTGGCTGTGGGCCCTCACCCACGCGCTTAAAAGGGACTTATTAATACTCCATTACAGGCACACACAGAAGGTTAATCAAAGGTTTATTTACAAGGGAAAGGGAATTAAGGAAATAAACAACTCAGGGAGAAAATAAGGAAATAAAGTCTTTAATGCATCCTACCTGATCCTCCGACCTGGAAACCCAAAGGCACTCTCAGAGCTGGCCTGACGCTGCGAGCTGGCCGGGAACCAAAATGTGGGATCACCTCCAAAGCCCATGTGTCTGGCTTTATACCAAACCTGGCTGCTTAACCCCACCCTCAGGTCCCAGCCACCTTCCCTTTGGTGGTGATGGGATTTGCAGTTCCCAGTGTCTTTGGCTTTGGTCTGGAGTGGGGGTGGAGTCCACAAAGCCTGTATGGAATTAGCTTTAGGACATCCTTTTCCCCCTAACAAAACCACGGGGGATCCTCTAACTGCTCAGAGCTCTCCAGGAGGGCCTGGCTTGCACAGGCCTGGATCACAAAAGGCAGATGGTGTAGTCACCTGAGGTAGCAGTGTGGGGCCTGCACAGGAAATTCTCAAGTCAGGGAGGAGGGGGGAAGGGAGGATAAGGAGGGGAGGGGAAGAGAAGGGAGAGGCAGGAGAAGGGGAGGAGGAGGGGCAGGAGAAGGGGAGGGGGGAGGGGAAGGGACCATCTAAGGAGTCTGGGCCCAGCATCCTGGTCAAGTACCTCAACCTTTGGACACCTTCATCTGTAGCCTCACTAAATCTTCAGAACATTCACCTGCCTGGCTGGTAGGAATCTAACTACACAGAACCTCAAAAGTACCAAAACCTTAACAGTCAAAACAGCTACATCTGAGAATCTTTTCTGAGGAAACAGTAGATGTAAACAATGCTTTAAGCACAAAGATACACACTGAAGGGTTTTTATTATAATTTTTTTTAAAAATTCAAAAACAACACATACTGGCAAGGGGGGGTGAATTCAGTACCTCCCTGGCACAGGGGTTCATGGAACACAGGGGATCTCACCTCGTACCTGAGCTGAGCCACCTGCACACACATTCACACTGCAGATGATAAGTGCAAGGGCCACCTGGCACTCTGCTCAACAGTGTGTTTTTTTTTAAGGTAAAATGCCCAGGGCATGATATTTCCAAATCCCCTATCAGGTTTGATGCACAGATTTTGTCACTTACTGTGTGACCTTGAGCAAGTTACCAAATTTTCTGCCCCTGAAGTCCACTCATGTATAAAATGGAGATAACACAAACAAGGTCATGGTGAGGATTAACTGAGAAAAAAATGTATAAAAGAGTTAGGAAAAGGTTTGGTTTCTGCTGTTAATAATGCTTCCTGGGGGCATTATTAATACTGTTATTATCCCACCTCGATCACCTTTATATAATAACTAGATCTTTTTATAGCCTAAACTGTGAACAGGAGTTAGCTCTGAATTGTAAAGCTTGGGCCAATTTTCAGTTCCTACCTCATGCTTTTAGGTAATTTCTTAAGGGTTTTTGTTTTTTGGATTTTTTTTTTTACATTTTGACAGTGAACACATTTATTTCTATAGCCAGGAAAAAACTGAATGTTAAATAAAAGGAAAAATTAAAAATCTTCCCCACAGAAACCCACAGCCCTGCCTGGCCTCAGGGAAAGCTGGTGCTCAATTTGTTACTTGGGCACTTTGATACCTCAGTCAGAATGATTCCATCTTGCAGATGAGAAAACTGAGGTACAGAAAAGTGACAATTTATACCTCAGGTTACTTAGGCAATTAGTGATGTGCTGGCACTGTAACCCAGGCCTCCTGACTTCCCCCGCTCTGTGAAAAATGATTTCAAAGGCCTGCTTCCTATAGGGGCCCTCCCTGGTGGCACAGGGGTTAAAGACACAGCACTATCAAGCTATCAGCAGCCACTGAAGCACGAGTTTGATGCTGGCTGGCCAGGGAGCTAACCCACATGACACAACAGACCTCTCCTGTCTCCCCTGCTGCTCCCCTCACCAGTGTATTTCAGTCAATACACCTGTTCTGCTCCCCACTCTCTGGTGAATACCTCACCCTACCCCCACATCTCTGGCCTACACCCCAGCTCTTATATGCATAAATAAATATTTTTTCAAAAAAAAAAAAAAACCCTCCTTCTTCTATATGTAGTGAGTTAGTGAGTTCCCCATCAACAGAAGCAATCAAAGACCAATGCTAACCTCTTAGAAAAGCTACAGGAAAGATTCTTTCGGCAAGAGTGACGTGACGTCTAAATCTTCCTCTAGCATAGGGATTCTATAGCCTAATTCCAGATATACCAGAATTTTAAAAGCCAAGCAGCAGAACAATGCCTTCTGACAAAAGTTTCAGAGTTCAAAGAGAAGAAAAAGATCTCATATTCAATGGAGAATAAGAGGAAAGAACTCTAATGGTGGCAGAGACAAACAAGTCTTCTCAATGTGGAAAACTCTGAAAGAAAATATGATTATATTTGAGGCTTCCTGCCCAGCCCATTTCCTTCAATGGCTTTGTGTGTGTGCGTGCAAAGAATACTTAACACGAGATCTACCCTCTGAACAGCTCTTCAAGTGTACAATGTATTGTTGACCATCTACATGGTGCACAGCAGATCTCTAGAAAACTCTTTCCTTTTGCTTGACTGAAATAGCACAACAGTCAAAATGGGAAAACAAGCTAAATGCTCATCAACAGGAAATGGGAAAAGAAAATGAGGAATACACATACAATGGGATAGTAGACCTCTTTAAGAGAAAGAAATTCTGACCATGGACAGCAAGGATGAATCTTAAGGACATTATGCTAAGTGAAATGACCAGAATGACCAAGACTGCAGGATTCCACTCCCTGAGGAGATGTTAAATAGTCAGATTCATGGAGTGAATTCAGAGTGGTATGAGGGGCAGGAAAAATGGGGAGTTACTAACCAAAGGGCATGGGTGACTTTTTTAAGTATCTGTTTCTGGGATCAGAACCCAAAGGGGCAAAACACTATACATTATGCAGCTGCATAATGTGGGTTGCTGCTCTCTGGGTTGCCGCTGGTGAGTGTGTCTGTTTAAGGAAAAGTAAGTAGCTCCCTCCTCTCTGAAGAGGAGGGTGGAGGTTGGGTTGAAGGTTACTGGCTTCCTTACATGCAATGTCTGTGTTCATGGACACAAAAAGCAACATGGAGTGGGGAGGACATGTCATTCCAATTTTCAGATGAGGCAAAGAACTCAGTGAATCAAA